CCGGGGGGGTCCCGGCCATAAAGCCCCCTTTATCCTGGAAATAACGTGCCCCCGGCGCCTGACCCCACTGCCCGCCCCCCCCCCCCCCCCACCCTCACGGTGGCCCCGGGGCTGGGGGGGCAGAGGGCAGCGCCCCCGCCAGAGGTCACGGCTGGCAGGGGGCCCGCGGCACCGCGGGGGCTTTAATGGGGAATTAAATGAGTCGGTGGCCCCCTCCGTGATACACCCGCCGCCCGAGGTGGCCCCCCCCCCCCCCCTCATTAGGGCGGTGGGGCCGTTATTAATATCACTGTCTCGGGGCCCCATCCCCACCGTCCCCTCCTGCATGAAATATTGCCCAGCGCCGCCGATCGCTGTTCCCATTATCTCCGACATTAATGGCAGAAAAATAAAATATCCCCCCCCCCCGTGCCTGGTGGGGCTCAGTGCCTGGGGGGGGGGGGGGGGGGCGGGCAGCAGGCCCTTGTGTGGGTTTCCAGCCCCCCCCGCTTGCTCGTTCCTGCTTGCACCCCACTTCTTCCCCACCCACACGTGGAGGGGACGGGGACCAGTATAGATGGGAGGGACCTCCAGTCCTGGGGCAAGGAGCCCCCCCCCAAGTGTTGGGGTTCCCTGTGGGTCCCCCCAGTTTCCCACTGGGTGACTGTCACCCCTGGGCTGCAGGAGATGGGGGGTCGGGGCTGGGTTTGCCCCAGAAAGCGGCAGACAAAGGGACCCCCCCCCCGGCTGTATCATCCCCCTCCTCGGCTCCGATGGGGCCGGGACCCGCTCTGCCTCCCCCCTCCCCGGCTTGGAGGGCGGGGGGGGCCCGGCTGCCGCTCCATCTCACCTGCCAGGGAGGAATTTAATTACCAATTAAGGGGCCTTCCATCTGTTTGAGGCCTGCCCGAGCACTCGCGCTCCCCTTTAATTACATCGCTGACAGCCATTTCACTCAATTAGCTGCGAAGCGCAGCAGAGAGCCGGCGCGGGGGGGGGGGAGCCTCGCAGCCCCACCATCTGGGGGGCCAACCCGCGTGTGTCCCACCTCCCCCCCCCCCTTTCCCTCTGCCGTGTCCCCAACCATCCCCATAGCTGTCCCCAGCCCCCCTGCCCTTGCCTGCCCCACACATTCCCCCCCCCCCCCCCAGCTCCATCCCTGCATCCTTTCCTGCATCCTTCTCCCCGTCGTCCCCCCCTCCCCACCTCGCCCCCTCCATCCCCTCTTCACCAATTTTTAAGAAGAAGAATCCAGGCCTGAGGTCTCCGTGGGGTGGGGACAGCAAAATGTGGCTGGGGCTGGCACCTCCTACCCCCCCCCCCCCCCCCCCCCCCAAATCCCCCCCCCTCAATTCTGCCTGCGCTTTCCTACGGGCAGACACTGCAGCTGCTTAATGGGCTCTAAATTTCATCGTTAAAACAAATCCGTAACGGGGCGACAGATGCCCCAGCGCACCCGGGGACGAATGTATCACCCGGGGACCGGGGGCGACAGCTTCATGCAGGGGGGGAGCGCTGGCCCACGGCCCCCCCAGAGCCGCCTCAGGGGTCCTGGGTGTTTGGGGGCTCCTCCAGAGCCTTGGCGGGGGGGGTGAAAATAGAGAGAAGGGAAGAGACAAGGTACTGGCGAGGGGAAAATCCTCAGGATTTATTTTTGGGGAGCGATCCGGGTTGGATAGGGTTGGCAGGGGGGGGGTGTCTGCGTGCAGCCACCCCCCTGTGCAGCAGCACCCGTGGGTGTGATGAGTTGGGGGGGGCTCAGCCAGGGGATTTTTAGGGAGTGGGGGCTCATCGTGCAGGGGGTGCAGCCATTGTCTGGGCTCTGGGGGCTGCTTGGGCCCCCCCCCCAACCCCAGAGAAGTGGGGGTCCCCAAGCCCGTGCCCCCCCCCCCCCCCCCCCGCCAGTGGGGATGGCGTGGCGAGGCGGCTGCCCCCGGCCTGGCCATCCATCACCGCGACAGCCCGGGGACGGGCGAGGAGGGGCCCCCTCCCTCGGCACCCCAACCCCTGCTGCCCACCCCCCCCCCCCGCCAGCTCCGGGGTCTTTTTTTTCCCTCCTCTTTCCTTTTCTCTTCCCTCCCCCCCCCCCCGCCCCCCCCGGCTGGGAGACAAAACCCGGCTGACAAGATGGAGGCCAGGCCATCAATCATGGCGGCTGCTGGAACCACCTCTCCCCCCGCTAATGAATCCCCTTCTCAGCACCCCCAGCATGGCCACCCCCCACCCCAGCACCCCCAGAATCCCCCCCCCAGCACCCCCAGCACAGCCACCCCCCACCCCAGCACCCACAGAACCCCCACCCCAGCACCCACAGCACCCCCAGCACCCCCAACACAGCCACCCCCCACCCCAGCACCCCCAACACAGCCACCCCCCCAGCACCCCCAGAATCCCCCCCAGCACCCCCAGCACAGCCACCCCCCACCCCAGCACCCCCAGAACCCCCCCCAGCACCCCCAGCACAGCCACCCCCCACCCCAGCACCCCCAGAACCCCCCCCAGCACCCCCAACACGGCCACCCCCCCCCAGCACCCCCAGAACCCCCACCCCAGCACCCCCAACACAGCCACCCCCCACCCCAGCACCCCCAACACAGCCACCCCCCCAGCACCCCCAGAATCCCCCCCAGCACCCCCAGCACAGCCACCCCCCACCCCAGCACCCCCAGAACCCCCCCCAGCACCCCCAACACGGCCACCCCCCCCCAGCACCCCCAGAACCCCCACCCCAGCACCCCCAGCACAGCCACCCCCCACCCCAGCACCCCCAGAACCCCCAGCACCCCCAGCACCACACCCCCCCCCAGCACCCACAGCTTGGCCACCCCCCACTACAGCACTCCCAGTACATCCACCCCAGCACCCCCAGAACCCCCAGCACCCCCGGCACAGCCACTGTCCCCCAATATCCCCTGTGCCCTGCACCCCCAGGCATCCCCATCATCTCCCCCATGGATTCGGGGTCCCAGCTGGGGTGGGGATGGAGAAAAGGGGGGGACGGGGTGACCTGAGTACAGGGTGACAGGGGCTTGGAGGTTGTGGGGTTTGGGGGTGGCAGGGGTTGGGGGGCTGCACAGTTAGGGGGTGTCAGGGGCTTGGGGGTTGTGGAGTTTAGGGGTGTCAGGTTTGGGAGTGGCATGGGTTTGAGGGTGTTAGGGGTTTGGGGGTTGCAGGGTTTGGGGGTGGCAGAGCTTTGGGGGTCCCAGGGGTTTGGGGGTTGCAGGGTTTGAGGGTGTCAGGGGTTTGGGGACTGCACGGTTTGGGGATGTCAGGGGTTTGGGGGGTTGCAAAGTTTGGGGGTTGTGGGGTTTGGGGGCTGCACGGTTTGGGGGTGTCAGGGGTTTGGGGGTGGTGCGGACCCAGAGTGGCAGAGATTTGGGGTGCAGGGTGGCACAGAGGCAGGCCGCCAGGGTTTCGGGGTCTCATGGCTGTGGGGTCAGCGTGGGTTTGGGGGGTGGTGCAGCCGTGGGGTCGCACGGATCTGGGGGGCTGGCGGGGCGCTTCAGGTCCAGCCAGGGGGCACGTGGGGCTGGTAGCCCCCAGCCCTGTCTGTCCCGGGGAAGCCCCCTGTCCCCCCCACGAGTGACAGCTTGGGGTCGTCCGCCCCCCCCCCCCCCCCCCAAAACCCCACAGTCCCCGGGGAGTGAAGCCCCTTTGTCCCGCAGCGGCGCCTTTGTCCCCATGTCACTTGGGGGGGCACCAGCTGTCATGGCCGGGACTGCGGGGCCTTCGTGCTCCTCCTCCTCCTCCTCTTTGTTCTCTGCTCCCTCGCTGGGGGTCTGCCCGGGATGGGAAGGGAGGGGGGGGACCCGGGGTCCCCACCCCAAGGGGCAGCTGGGGGGGCACACAGCCCCCCCCCCATGATGGGGCAACCACCCCCCCCCCCCCCCAGTCAGCGCAGACACCCGTGGGGAGCAGACTCGGAGTGGGCTTCGTGTCCCGTCCAGGGTCCCCAGGTTTGGGGTGCCCCTGGGTTGGGGGGGGTCCCCTCAGGGTCCCCTTCTACCCCCCCAGTTTTTTGGGTGTGTGTGTGTGTGGGAGGTCCTGCTGAGCACTGCCCTTTGTTGCCCATTATGGGGGGCAGCTGGGGGGGGGCTGCGAGCTCCTGGGTGGGGGGGGTGTGTGTGTATGGGGGGGGGGACGACTGTGGGGACACGAGGGGCTCTCACAGCCCTGAGAAGGGGCTTTTGGGGGGGCCGTGGGGGGAACAGAGAGGTGCCATGGGGGGGGGGGGGTGTCCTGGCTGTAGGGACATCTGCCTGGGCCCCCCCCCCGGGAGACACGAGTGGCTCTGCCAGCTGCTCCCCCCGGCTCCGGGGGGGTCCCAGGCCGGGGTTGGCGCATCCATCAACGTCTGCCCGGAGCGCCCCCCCCTCCCCGCAGCCCCCCCGGGATCGGGGACGCCCCTGGGTGTGGGACGGGGGTGGCTTTGGGGTGTCACTCGTGTTTTGGGGGGGCACACACACACATATGCCTCTTGGGGGGGTGGGGTGGGGTGGTGTCCACGTGGCTGCAGGGTGGGGGGGTGACCACAGGAGGGGCTAAGGCAGGTGGGGAGGCGGTTTTGGGGAGGGAGGGGGCAGTCGGGAGGGGTGTGCAGAAAGGGGTGCATTGCGGGGGGGGGGGGGCATGTCCCTAAGTTGGGGTGTCCCGGGGGGGGGGAACCTACGCTGGTGGGTGGAGGGGGTGTGGGTGGGTGTCCCACAGCAGGGGCGTCCCTAGGTTGGTTTGGGGGGGGGGGGGGTCCCAAAGGAGAGGAGTCATTTTGATTGGGGGTGGGGTTCCCCAAGGGTGGAGGGATCCCGAGGATTTGGAGGATCCCAATGGGGGGGGGGGGGTGGGCTGTGATGGGGAGGGTCCGGCGGGGCGGGCGGGGTGTCCCGGCAGGTGGCGGCCGGCAGGTGGCGCTGCAGGATCGCGAATGCGCAGTCCGGGGAGGGGCGGGGCATCCGGGAGCGGGGCGTGGCCAAGGCGCGTAGAGGGGCGGTGCCACACACCGTATAAGGGAGGTGCGTGCCGGGCGAAGGGGTGGGGATATGCAAATAAGAGCCGTGGCCGCGCCAGGGAGAGGCGAGCAAGAGCCACGCTGCGATCGCGGTGTTAGGGAGCGTCGCGCAAGAGGCGCTGGAGGTACCGGGGTGGGGTGGGGTGGGATGGGATGGGGTGGGGTGGGGTGGGGTGGGGTGGGGTGGGGTGGTCCCAGGATGGTGCGGCGTGACCGTGTCAGAGCAGACTGCGCCCACCTATGGGTGCAATCACCACACCTGCCCCGTGCATGGGCACCCACTGGTGAGCAGCGTTTTGGGTGCCCAGCTGCGTGCACCCATCCCCACCCCCTAGACATGGCGAGGCAAAGGCTCTTCTCTCTGTGTGGGGTCCCGCCAGCCCCAGGCCACCTTGTGCTGGACCCCGTTGATCTGGGGTGGCTTGAGATTATGAACCCGTAGAGAGTGAGATTTAACAGAAAATCCCATACATGTTGCCTTTGTCTCCAAAGAAAACACACCAAAGAGCAGAAGATCCCCCAGAGCCCGGCCTCGATGGGTGATGTACCCATGAAGACCCACCACCCCAATACCGCTGATGGAGAGAGGACACTGAACGGGGGGAAAAAACTTTATTTGTGGCCAGCTTCTGCTGGGAGTGAGCAGGAACGGTGAATCAATTTTTCATTAGTGCTTAATTTTTCCCTTGATTTTATTAACGCTGGGGGGTGGATACAAGACCTGGGAAGGGGCCTCTGGAGGTGGTGCAGCTGAGGAGGAGCTGGCCCAGGGATGCAGGCTGGGGTGCAGGGTTTGGGCTGGGGTTGGAGTGGGGGGATACTGGGGAAGGTCCGTGTGTCCCGGTGTCCCCCGGTGCTGGGGTCCCACCTTTGCAACCAGCTCCTCTGAGGGGAGACCCTGGTGCCGTCACGTCAGTGAGGATGGCTTGATGTGCTCCTTGGTGGGCTGCAGGACCTGGTATGAGAAACCCAGGGATGGGGCTGGGGCCAGGCTGATTTTTGGGGTGCCCTTCCCAGCTGGACAGCTGAGTTCCCTTGGGCAGGGAGTGGGGGGGGCACGCCTCATGCTGAGCAATTAGGGGGGTGTGGGACCCCACGCTGGGGTGACAATAGGAGTGGGACCCACAGTGTGCCCCATCTCCTTCCTGCTGGGTAAAGCTGGGCAACCCACCCCCTCGTTAGTGAAGCTAATGAAGCGCTTACCTGCGACATGCTCTGCTGGGACAGAGGTTTGTCATCAACCTGGGGGAGGGAAGGGGACCAGCAGCTTTGGGAGCGAGGTGAACGGGACCCACTGGGTGCCCCGACATGGGGAGCATCCCCTTGGCACCCATCCTGCTCAGTGCCCAGCACCCTGATGCAGTTGGGAACTTTCCGGCAGCTGCCAGACCCCGACCCCAACCCCTGCTGGACCCCCCCCCAGGCACAGGGAAGGGTTCGCACCTCCTCAGGGCCACCTATTCGTGGCCACCGTCGTCCCCCACGTCCCTCCGCTCTGAGCTGCCTGCCAGGTAGTCGAAGAGGACGAAGCCGTACGGTGCTGGCTCAGGGGCCTGGGGGGGGGGGGGGGGGGGAGACAGAGAAGCCGAGGAGGGTGAGGAGAGGCAGAGGAGGGTGGAGGAAGGCCATGGTGAGGGATGGCTGCACTCACCCGCAGGCTCAGCCGCTGGATCACTTGCTGAGGGTCGCTCTCCAGGATCACCCTGTGGAGCAGTGCCGTCCCGATCCCACCAGGATCCCCCCCCAACCTCCAGCACGGCTCCCTCACAATCCCTGCTGCACCCCACCCGGGCATCACTGCCCCGTGCCTCAGTTTCCCTCCTTTTGCAAGGCCCTGGGATGCCCTGAGGAAGAGCAGCACCTGTGGTGTGCAGTGCCCAGCTCCCCCTTGCCACACTGAGACGGGCCCAGCCTCTTCCCAGCACCCAGGGGGACGATGCCACCCCCTGTCCCTGCAGCCCCCAGTGCTATGGGCTGCTTGTCCCCCTTCGTCCCCACCCCCCAGAAGGAGCTCACCCCCTGTCCACGATCTCATCCACCACCAGGAACGTCCCCTCCATGTTGTCCAGCAGCCAGCGCTTCTCCACCTCCCTCCTGCGGGTGAGCAGGTGGGAGACGTCGCTGCACCCACTCCCGGTCACAGCCCGGGGTCCCGTGCAAAGTGCTGGGGCCTGGACCCCTGTCACCCCGAAGGAGCACTGGCCCTGTCCCACCCGGGGTGTTAGGGGACGGGGGTTTCATGCCAGCTCATGCAAACCGCCTCCCTGTGCTCTGCCTCAGTTTCCCCACCCGAGGGACGTGGCTTTGGGGTTGGGTGGCCCCGGGGACTCACCGCAGGAGGTGGCTGAGGGTGTCGAGGAGGCAAGCGAGCACGGCCGACAGCATCAGCTGCAGGAAAACACGGGGGGTGTCAGTGAGGCCACGGGGGTCCCCGGGGCTACCCGCCCCCCCCTCCACCTACCTCATTCTCCTGGCAGCCCCCCACCACATAAAAGAAGAGGTCGACGCTGCTCCTGTAGACCACTGTGAGTCCTTCCAGAGAGACGATCTCACCTACACGGGAGACACGGGACAGCGTTAGAGTCCCCCGGGACTGCACTGGAGGGGATGCTGCTCCAACCCCGGTGCCAACCCTCCACCCCAACATTCAAATTTTTGCAGCTGTGTTCCCCCTGATTGCAAAAGCTCCCGAGCGGGTCCCCCCCCGACACTCACCGCCCGCCCGGTGGGTCTTGCTGAAGATGTTCCTCTCGAAAGCCGCCTGCTCCTGGGCAGTGGGGAAGGTGCCATCGTAGTACTGCGGGGCCGGGCAGGGTGGGCAGCATGAGGGGGGAGGGCAGGACATGCGCTGGGACCCCCAAGCCCCCCTCTGGGCCCCCCCCAGAGTCACCATCAGAACCCCTCCGAGAGCCCGCAGCTCGACAGAAGGGGAGATGCCTGAGCTGGGGGGGTGGGGGGGGAACCTGGGCAGCTTCCCCTGGGGAAACTGAGGCACAAGGGGAGGTGGGGCGGGGGGGGGGGCTTCACCTTGGCCAGGAGGCGCTGCCCGAGGCTGTCGAGGATGAGCAGGGCCTTCACCGTGTACAGCGAGGGCTCCTGGGGGAGAGGGGCCGGGGCCCATGGGGCTCAGCCCCACGCTGGGTCCGGCCACCCCCAACCCACCCTGGGTTCCCCCAGATCCTCTCTCTTGGGGTCCCCCCTCCCCATGTCTGGATATTAGGGACCCTCTTTGCTCTCCCATTCCCCCCCTCCAGTTCTGTTTCCCCATTTCCACTCTTCTTCCCATTTCTCCCCACTCCCTCTCCCCCATCTCCCCCGTTGCCCCCCCTTTGTCTCCCCCCGCCCCCCGGTCTCCATCATTTATCCCCATCACCCTCCACTTTCCCCTTTCCTGTTTTTTCCCCGTCGCTCCCCCTCTCCGTCCCGTTTTTTTCTTCCCCGTCTTTTTTTTTTTTTTCTCCTCCCGTTCTTCCTCCCCCGCTCCGTTTTTCCCCGTTTTTCCCCATTTCTCTGCGCTCCTCCTGTCCCACCGCAACCGCACGAAGTTCCGCCCGGGGCAGCGGAGCCCCGGTCCCCGTCCCGGTCCCGGTCCCGGTCCCGTCCCGGTCGTACCGGCCCCGTGGGCTCCATCGCTCCGCCGCCCCGAGCCCGCCCACCCCCCCGGCCCGCTCCGCCCCGGTCCCCCCCGGCCCCGCACCCCGACTCCTCCCCGCTGCACCCCGGGCTCAGGATCCCCCGGCTGTTAAGGGAGGAAAGGGGGTGTCCCCCGGGTGTGTGGGGGGGTCCCGCACCCCAGTGGACGCAGTGGGGGGGTGGGGTGGGGGAAACACACGTGTGGCCATGGGGGTGTTGTTCCCCCCTGTGCCCCCCTCCCACTCCTCCTTTGGGAAAGGACTGGGATCCCCACGCACCCTAAATTGAGGGGTTCAGGGAAGCCCCAGAGTGGGGGGAAAGGCTCAGCAATGGGGGGGGGTGGTGGGGGTCACCCCTCACCTAACCTCTGCTGCACTTAACTTGGGGTAACCCCCCTGCCGTGGGGGCCTAGAAGGAGGTGTGGGGGGGTCCTGGCAGTGTAAGGTCCAGCCAGTGGGTACAAGCACATCCCTGATGCAGGATTTGGCCTCTGCTGGGGGGGGGGTCGGTACCCCGCCACGTGCCATCATGAGGGATCCCAGCCATGGGGCACAGCCCCCCCCGCCCCCCCCCCCGTGCCTGGGGGGCTGCGCCCACGGGGGGAGCCCAGACCACAGCGTGGGAGCGAGGGGCAGTGGGACATGCCATGCCCAGAGCAACTCCCCATCGCGTCCCACCGAGGGACACTGCTCACCCCGGGCTGTCCCTAACTTTCCCCCCCCCTTCTGAAAAGAAACTGGGGGGGCAGTCTTCCTGGGGGAGCACTGGGGAAGGGGCTCTGTGCGCCCCTCGCCAGAAAGCACCGAAAGGCTTTCGCCTGCCCAAACTGGAGGAGAGCCGGGAGGCAGGCAGGGCGCAGGGCCGGGGACGCCAGCCAGCCCTCCAAATAGTCCCAGAGAGGGGGGGACACACTAAAAATAACCCCGCGGGGGGCAGCCCAGCTCGGGTTGCTGGCAGGAGGCTGACCACAGCCCTGGGGAAGTTTTTAGGACACTCCCATGCCACCGGTTTTCCCCGTGGGGTGCAGGGAGGGGGGACGGGGTGCCCGAATAAAAGTTTAAAGGGAGGCATCCCTACTGCAAACCCCCCCCGGGGTTGGCAGCACCCCCAAATTTCCCACCCGACGTACAACATGCCGAGCAGCAGCTCGTGGTACCGAGGGGGAACCGGTCTGCATCAGGGCTGTGCCGGGGCCACGGCCGTTGCCTCAGCAAATTGCCGGTTGCGGCACAACGTGGGCTGGGGCCGCACCCCGGTTTTTGTGGGTGTTTCGTGGCTTGTTTTTCAGGAGGAGATTAGTGAGACGGAGCAACTGGGGCAGAGCAAGCCCATGACCCAAAATTGCTTGGATCTGGGAGATTCCAGGCTCCTTGCCACCTTTCCCTGGCTGTTCTGGTCCCTTTCCTGCCCATCTCCCTGGATGTTCTGGAGCATCCCTGCTTGCAGCGTCGGGGACAGATGGTTTTGGGGGGGACACACAGCCTGTCCCCCCATCCCGCAGCCATGCCGGCAGGCTTGGTCCTTGCTATAAAGAAATGGTTCTTTAGAAATAGTTCTTCAGAAAACCAGGTTGGATGGAACCCCTACGATCATCTGATCCACCTTTTCATGCCAAAAAGAAGGGGGTTCTTCACTGCCCTGGGAAGACACCCCCAGTTGGGAAGCCTCACCCTGCTGCGAGGCGTTGGAGCCCGTGCTCCTTTTCCATGGTTTTTTTTTTTTTTTTTTTTTTTTTTTTTCGGATGAACTATTGTCTCTGGCATCCTGTTTGTCCCGGTGAGTTTCTGGGGCAGGGAAGAGGGTGTCTGGTTTTGGCAGCTGCGGCCGCGCCGGGCAGCTGCAGCGTTGCAGGAATAGCAGGCAGGGGCGGTGGTGCCCTCCTGCCCTGACCTCCTACCTGCCCGCCAGCGCTGCCGGGTCTGGCGGGGGCTGCCCCTCACCCCGTGGGCACCAGCATTGATTTGGGCAGAAAGCCCACGTCGATCGATTGATGTGGAAGGTATAAATAACCTGCACAGCAGCGGCGGTTTTAACACCAACCCCGCTCCACGCTAACTTATTTAACTAGCTTACGGAGTTCCCATCGGCGATCCTGGTGGTTGATCATCCCAGAGAGGGGAGGATGAGATGGGGACCTGACCCCGGCCCCGCTTCTGCAGCTGCTCACAGCACCTTTGCAGCTCTAACGGGAGATCCTGGCGCTTTTTTATCGAGAGGCTTCAGAGTCAGCGTGGGTCCTTGGGCACTCGCTGAGGTGGTTGGGATGGGCTGCAGCCTTTCCCTCGCTTCTGCCGGGCCAATGATTGTCTCAAAAGGCATCGGGCGTCAAGAGCTCGGTTGTTCAGTCAAACTCAAACCAGCGGGGGGGTTCCCCCTTGATTTAGAGGGGGGGGGTCCTGGGAGAACCTCAACCGTTTTAGGCTGGTAAGGGACAGCCAGACACAGGGACAGTCCCTTGGCCATTGAGTTGCGGGTGGCAGTGAGCAGCTCAAAGGTGGCAGCTCTGTCCGGGTGGTGGGGAGGCTCCTCCTGCTCCAAGTGTCAGCACCCCAGGAGGCTCAGAACCCCCCACCCTGGGCTCTTCCCCTTCCCACGGGGGGAAGCTGTGAGCCAGGGCCGGGAGCTCACCCTCCCTCCCGCAGCCATTTGCACCTTCAGCAGCTCCCACCGCCACGGGCCGGGAGCAACCGACCAGGAGAGCTCGCTTTTCTCAACCCCAAAACAGGCCTGGGCGTAATGAGCAGGGGTATGCCAACTGGGCAGCTGCCAGAGTGTGAAATTAAAGACTTTTAATTAGCAAAGGGCTGGAGCGATGAAGAAAGTAAAGTGGGGGGGGGGGGGGGGTGTGGGGTGTGTGTGTTAGCAGGCAATGATGCCCTGGCTGCGCTCCCAGCCCCACCACTGACTCACTGCGGGGCCCGAGGCGAAGCTCTGAGTTAGGTTTTGATTCAGTCCTGCCGCCTGCAAGTCGCTCCCGGCGGCTGCCTCACGCCTGCGTGGGGCCGGCGACCCGCAGGGGCCGTGGGCGAGCGTGGGGCAGGCTCGTGTTTCAACACGCAGGGCCCGTGGCCGCGCAGGGGAGGCCCCTGGGCCGCGCTGAGGGGGCGAACGGGGCCGAGGAGCCGTCTCCCCACCCCGAGCCGCCGTCTGCCCCCAAGGGGTGTGGGGATCGGGGGGGGGGGGGGGCCCTGGGCACACGGCGGGGACCCCCGGGGCAACGGTGGCTCCGCCATGGCGGCCCCAGGCCTCGCCCTGCGCGGGGGGCGCGGTGCCATGGCAACAGCTGCGGGGCGAAGGGGGTGGTGTCCCTGCGCGGCATGCATTGGAGGGCGCTGCTGCCAGTCAAGCGCCGGGACGGGCGGCAAGGTTCCTGCGCGTCGCGTTATTGGCAGATGCCGCTGTCGCTCGGCGGAGGCCTCGCGTTCCATTGGGGAGGGCGCTTTGTCACTCAATCGCCGCGCGGGAGGGGGGGGGAGCGGGGCGGGTCGCGTTGTCTCGGTTCTCCTCTCCGATTGGCTCGGCGCGCGGCCGCCGGGCCAAGCACGGGGTCCGGCGGAGCTTCCCGCGCGCCGATTGGCCGCTCAGCCTTGTCTATCCGAGCGGCGGCGGGGGCGGGAGCAAACGCCTCACCTGCCGCCCGCCATTGGGCCGCCGCTTTGTCCCGCCTCCCTTTCCCCGACGCCGATTGGCGGCGGCGCCGCGCGAGGCGGGAGGGGGGAGGTGGTTGGCCAGGGCGGGGAGCGGGAGCGGGGCCGGCGGCGGCGGCGGCGGCGGCGGGGCCGGCAGCGAGCGGCGGCCGAGCGGGTAGCGGCGGGTCGGGGGGCGCGGAGCGGCGAGGGAAGGGGCCGCGGCGGCGGGGGCTGAGGGGCGCGGCGGGGGGGGGGGGGGGGTGGGGGAGGGCGGGGCGGGGCGGGCGGTGCTGAGGGGACGGCGAGGCCGCGCGGGGGGGCGGGTCACGAGGCGCGGCGGCGGCGGGGTGGGGGGGGGTTGTCTTAAAGGGGCCGCGGCGGGAGCGGCACATGGTCCTGCCGCCCCCCCCCCAAAATTCGGTAGCGCCGGAACCTCCCCCCCCCCCCCCACCACCACCGGGAGGGGCAGCGGCGGGGCCTGGCGGCTCCTCCCGGGAGCCGCCCCGTCGGGCTGGGGGCGGGCGGGAGGGGCGAGCCCGGGAGCTCTCGGCCGGGGTTGTTTTGCCGCCCGTGGAAATCCCGTGACGGGTGTTCGCGGAGCCGCTGGAAACGGGGCGAAGGAGTGAAAGGGAGCCGGGGCTGGATTCCTTCGGAGAGAGGGGAAGTTGACGCACCAGCCTAAGAATAGCTCAGGGAGGGGAAGTACGGACGATATTGTCACCAGAGGTAATCTCCGCCGCGCGTGTTTCTGTGCCCGTGTGGTGTCAGGAAAATCGGCCTTTCAAGCGAAATCCGCTCCGGGGCCCCCACGCGCGTGGGGAATCCGCCGTTCCCCGGTGGAGTAGGGCCATGTGCGATGTTTAGGGTGGTGCCTCGTCGGCGTGTTATCGCGTTCACTCTCTGGTTCTGTTTCAGCTGCTGATGAAACCGCAGCCGGGAGCGGAGGAGTCTTTGGACCTTCCCACGATTGGGACCTTCGACTCGTAAAAGGTTCCTTCAAGAAGCTTCGCGGAGCAGAAGAGGGGAAGAGCGGCCGGCTGTCGGAGGGAGCAGACCCTGTCCTGGAGCGTGGGGAATTGGGGCTAGAGAACGTCGCTGTATGTGGAGTTTCTGGACAGTAAGTCACACGGATTTTTATGTAGAGGCACGGTCAGTGTTATAAAATGGTTCTGAAGACGAAGAAAAGGGCAAGACAGGGTGGAGGCTGTCTTCTGGGGAGTTTGTTGCTTTGTGAGATTTAAATCTTTAATTACACTCTACTGGCCGATCACTGAGTTCCGGAATTTTATAAGGAAAACAAAATCATCCTGAACCGAAAGTCTTGAACGTTCTTTAAACTTCTCTCCTGTTGTTTAGCGATAACCTGTACGCTGA